TCCGTTGGACTTCATAGTGCCTGGACCTTCGGGCGCTGTCTGTCCAGGGGACGCGTCTCGACACCGTCACCTTTAAGTGAGAAAAGGAACGCCGACCTACCTCGCCAAATCTTCATCGGGATTCAAGGTTCTGCATGAAGAAAAACGGCCAAAAAAAAAAAAAAAAAAAAAAACAACCAGAACACGGTAGTTCTTTGTTCGCGGGCCTACACGCAGGGGAAAGCTGCGCCTCCGTGGACTTCATAGTGGCCTGGACCTTCGGGCGCTGTCTGTCCAGGGACGCGTCTCGACACCTCACCTTTAAGTGAGAAAAGGAACGCCGACCTACCTCGCTGAGGATGTTCTAAGCCCGCTCTAATAATAGGCGGCAGCCTAATACTAAATGCTTGTGGCAGCTGGGTCCGGGGAAAACGGGCTAATTCTCCTTCAGGCGGAATCACTGCAGCCAGGGGCTAGAAAGGCCGGGCCAGGAGGGTTTCCCCTCCTGTAGTTTCGGGCCATGCTGGGGAGAAGCAGAAAAGGCCCGGAATGCGGAAAAGAGGGGAGAATGGGTGCTTTCCTCCTTAGGGCTGAGGCAGGAACCTCAGGAACCAAGTCGGAAATTTTCCTGCGGAGGGTGCCGCGAGGGTCCCGGGGTCGCTCGGCCCCTAGGCGCCCAGCTGCCAGCGGCAGGTGCAGAAGGAGACCTGGGCGTCATAGCAACCGCGCTCGCCACAGAGACGCAAAGGGGTCCTTCCGGCGGGAACCATAGAGACGACGCACGCCAATGGCGCCAGAGACTGTGCTTCTTGTGGAGACTGTTATTACAGCTCATACCATTGGCCTTCGGCTCGGGGGCGGAGTTGTCCTGGCCGTATCGATAGCACAATTCATTCCATTGGCTTTGGAGACAACTGTAACCATGGTAACGGCATGTCGCGCGTTTGCGACTTAGCGAATACATTTTGTCTTGGGGCGTTCTAGTTCTCAAAGAGCTTCCCGCCAGGCCTCAACAACAGCCCGTGCCTACTAAACTTGGATTTATTTTTCTCTAAGTTCCTTCATTCTTAAAGGGGCAGGGAGTGCTAGCTCAAGAGTTCTGAATTTAAGGCCTAGAGCGTGTCACTAGCCACGTGGGGCATGCAAGATAAATCACAATTTTTGGACCGAGCTTATTATTGTAAAAAGGAAGACACTGGGCTTGACTAGAATTATCCCTAAGGCTGAAGCCCTTTAGAAGTCCTAAGCACTGAAAATTCAGGTAAGGTGAACCTTATCTCCCCCACCTATGTAATGCAAAATAAAAACTTATAAATGACACAAAATTTAACATACTCAATTGATATCTTTTTAGATGCTTTTATAGCAGAATTCAAGTTAACTATCAAAACTCGATTTTACTCATGTTTTGGGGGCCCTTGCTTTGCTGGTATCCCAAACACAACATTTCTTGGTCTTAACTCTAGTTCCCCAAGAGGATACTTTCCAAATCTTTGCTGGTTCTACATGCATTATCTGGATGTATCTTACTCTTTATATAATAAAGTGCCTCAACCTCTCCTTCTGGCACTAGACCTCTTGCAAGTGTTTTTTCTGAACTAAAATGCTCACCACCAGCACTTGTAGCCCACTTCACTCCTGTTTATCAGTTTAAGTATCACCTACTCAGGGAGACATTCCTTGATCCTCCATCCAAGATCAGGTTCTTACTTACCCTCATTGACTCATGTTCCTTTTCTTTATACACTTCCATTTGCTGTTAAAACACACACACACACACACACACACACACACACACATTCTCTCTCTCTCCCCCACCCCCCTGGAATTTTTACTTGTGTAAATATCTTTTTAAGTGCTCTGAATATAAATTAAACTGAAGTGGAAAACACTAAATAATTTCATGTAGAACACTGATTGTTTTTAAGCGTTAACAAGTCAGGATATAAAATGATTCCCAAGGGAGGTAATAATTATGGTAAAGACAAACATTAAGATCACTTCTACTTTTAACCCCACATATGCCCATTGTACATTCAAAGATGATGACAGTCATCATCCACATGAAGCTATGAATGCAGAGAAGAACATATTCTACTACTTGCCCTTCAGTACTGCAGCCACTGACAGAGCCCACTGCTTTTGGGGTTTTGCAAATTGGACCTGAAGTTCACTTAAAATCGTTGTCAAAGGAGCCTGGGTAACATAATAAGACCTTGTCTCTATGAAAAATAAAATATTTAGATGGGCATGGTGGCACACGCCTGTAGTCTCAGCTGCTCAGAAGGCTGTGGCAGGAGTGCTTGAGTCCAGGAATTCAAGATTACACTGAACTATGATTGGACCATTGCACTCCAACCTGGGTGACAAAGCAAGACCTTGTCTCTAAGAAAAAAAAAAATGTTTGTTCAAAGGGACTGCTGCTTCCAGAACAGTCTTGACTGCTGCAGTTATTTTTCTTCTGTTCAAGGTCACACTTCCTGATTAATGAAGTATTTCAGCCTTAGAATTTGTCAAATCTTCTCAATTAAATTTATTGTACTTCTATTATCAGACAGACACTGGGGCTACCCTTCCCTACTCCATGAAACACCATGAATTGTATTTTAAGTCAAATATTTATTTGAAACACAGTACCTGCTTCTACCTTAGTCATTAATGCTAATTTTTCAAATTGTACCCTGGGCTATCCTACAGATCATTTAGGGAATTTTTTTGCACTATGCTACTTGTGCACTCCCAACCCAAAACCCAGGACAGCAAGAGATGTATTCAAAGTTTTTCAAAGATTCTCAAGGATTCAAAGATTAAGCAGGGCACTGGTGTAACACTGCTTTGCTAAGTGAGAAAAACAATAATTGCAACCATTTAGTGAGTGTCAATCAAGTGCTAGGCACCAGACTGATGCTTTTTGTTTGCTATTTCATTTAATCCTCACAATAAATGGCATTACTTTGCAGAGAGATTATCCCCATTTTATGCATGTGGACACTGAGATTAAGTCAAATGCCTAAGTTTATAAAGCTAATAGGTGGCACGGCTGGCTAAGTTGACTCCTAGCCCATACTCTACCACACTGTAATGCCTCCCTCAGGACAGAGATCACCAAGTGGCCCCTGCCTGGTCCCAGGTGGAAGGACATATTAAGTTAACCTGAAGAGCAGTCCTAAAATACTTGAAATGTAAACTGTTACCCTAATATGAGGTGCATCTACAAGAAGAAGCAAAAAGTAAATGCAGTGAAAAGCTCATCATTCTACAATCTATCTTCAGGGAGGTATCCTTCTTTCCTACTCCTATGTTTGATAAATTTCAAACAAAACGAAACATCCTTTCCATTGGGTCAACTTTTGGACACACACTTTATTGCACTTAATTTTTTATACATCCATTTCCTAAACAAGACATGTTTATTCATCTTTTTAATCCTCATGGCTCAGCACAGGGCCTGACATACATAGGCATTCAACCAATATTTGATCACCAAAGCATGACCATTCATGCATCCATAATCCTCTTTTTATAGTATAAAGATGGCTGATATTCAGGCCCCCATGTATATTTTAAGGAATATGTAATTCCCAATAAGCTCTTCTTTTTAAAGGTGAGAAACAGTTCTAGTGTTCAATTTCAAAATCAAAGTAACATTCAGGTGAGTGTATCAGGTGTCATTAAAAGACAAAATAACAAACCATATTTGCCTGCATACCACTGCCTTTTCCCTTTCTTTCATTTTCTCTGTCCATATGAAAGCCACGGTTTTATTATAGTTTTCACCATCTCTAAGAGCCCTGAACAATTTTTGATCCTGTAAGGGCTTTTTACTTCAGTTTTTGTCACCTATAAAAGCTGTGTGTCGAGACTGAAGATTATCCACTATCTTCTCTTCTATCTCTATGCCTTTTTCTATTTCTTCCTCTGATAGCAATAACTTGGTTTCTGAGTCTTTAGTTACAATAAACACAAAGGACTGTCGTGACTCAAGGATATTAGCCACCACCACTTGATGCTGATAAACTTCCAAAGCCTTCCGAGCTCGATTAATTACAATGGCAGGGTCAGTCTCCAACTTAAAGGAAATTATAAATGCTTTGGGAGCCCAATCTTTAACCAAAGGAGAAAGCAGTTTTGGCACCATCTTCATTGTTATCTGTATTGGAAAAAGAAAAGCTTAATAAGCAAACAATGGCCATTATCTACCAGGTCAATCTCATGGGAAACTACGGAAACTAAGGAATCAAATTTAAGTGGGATTTCTCAACTATCAAACTTTTCAATTAAATGCTTAGTTTAAAAAGCCTTAGGGGAACACAGTGGCTTGGCCTGTAATCCCAGCACTTTGGAAGGCCAAGGTGGGTGCATCGCTTGAGCCCAGTTCAAGACCAGCCTGGGCAACATGGCAAAACCAGGTCTCTACAAAAAAAAAATACAAAAATTAGCCAATCATGGTGGCACCCACCTGTAGTCCCAGCTACTCAGGAGGCTGAGATGGGAGGATTACTTGAGCCTGGGAGGTTGAGGATGCAGTGAGCTGTATTTGTGCCACTGCACTTCAGCCTGGGCAACAGAGCAAGACTTTGTCTCAAAAAAAAAAAAAAAAAAAAAGCCTTGGTTCTGTAGAGTTCACAGGGATGCCTAAATTCAAGGCTCCATACATATTCTGGGGCAAACCATGTCTTCTGAATAAGCTCTGCCCTGCTCTGCCACCCTTACCACCATTTTTGAGGGTTTGAACCAAACCCTCAACTAAACAGATACAAAGAATCTGTTCATACAAATGTTTGGCAGAAGCCGAAATAAAGTTGGGTTTTTAAACCTCTCAGCCTAAATATTTCTTGCATTGGTAGAATGGCTCTTAGATTCCATTTTAAAATAGTCACTTGTAACACAACTTAGCAGTGAGGAAACTGATTTTATTTTCACTTGACCAAAACTCCTAGTACCTCATCCCCAATCCCTTCTCAGGGTAATGTTCAGTTGCTTTGTTACTTTCAAGATAGAACTAAAAACTATGAGATAAACTAAAGATCCCAGAGATTTAAAAGTGTGAAATCACTAAGCTAATCATCAGAATTTCCCCTAAAAAAAAGCTGTTAGTGTGACAGGGATCATATACTTGTTTATTTATACTTTATTTTTCTCCTTAGCATTTATCACTACCAAATGAGGTATGTATTTGACTTAATTTATTGTCTCCTCTGCAGAGGAAGCAACACAAGGGCAGGGTATGTTTCTTTTCACTGCTTTCATCTCCAGGTCCTACAGCAGCGTAGGACCTCAATCAACTATTCTACAAAGTCGGCAAATGCTCCACAGATAAGAGTTTCTCCTAATAAAATCCTACCTGTATCACCCAATAAATGACTAAGAACTCCCGAAGGTTCCAAGAAGTCAGATCACCTAAAATCACAACCTACCTTATCCATATTTCTTCCTTAATCTACAATAGCCCCCAACAAATCTACCCACTCCACTTTCTCCCTCTCTGGCTTCATCTTTCATACTGATGCCAGAATGTTGTTCTCAAACAAAAACTTTATCTCATTCTCCTACTTATGTGTCCCTTAGCTCCACAAGAAAAAGTCCAAGCTCCTTAAAAAAGGAAAACAAAGTCTTCTACAAAGCAAGCCATCTCTTCGGCCAGCTCTCCAGCCTTACCAAAGCACTTCGGTTCACAGCCCACTGCCCACTTCCAAATTCCAAGTGCCATACTCCACTTGGAATGACCTTTCCCATTTCGTACATCCTCTGCTCATTTTGTTTTGTTTTTTGTTTTTTTGAGACGGAGTCTCGCTCTCGTCGCCCAGGCTGGAGTGCAATGGCACGATCTCGGCTCACTGCAACCTCCGCCTCCCGGGTTCAAGCGATTCTTCTGCCTCAGCCTCCGGAGTAGCTGGGATTACAGGCGCCTGCCACCACGCCTGCCTAAAACACAACTTAGCAGTGAGGATGCAGTGAAAAGCTCATCATTCTACAATCTATCTTCAGGGAGGTATCCTTCTTTCCTACTCCTATGTTTGATAAATTTCAAACAAAACGAAACAGAGCCACCGCGCTCGGCTCTGCTCATCTTTTAAAACCCAGTTCATCTCCTCCAAGAAGCTTCATCGATTCCCCCAGGATTCACTCGCCCCATGATCTGACTGCACTTTGTACATACCTCCACTAGAGCATTTATCACTCTGTATTGTAATTATGTCTGTGTCCAGCTCCCTCACTAGATTGTGAGGTCCATGAGGGAGGGCGGTGTCTTATTCATCTCTGTATCCCCTGTGCCTAGCGAATACAGATGCAGAAAGGCCATCTCCAGATCAAGAGGAAATTAACCCAAGATTGGTTATATGAGATTAGATCTCTGGAAGAGAAGCGCCCATCACCTGCAGTGGGCCCCCAGATGACTGGATCTTGTGTTCAGGCATTTCAGAGACAGGAACATAGAAATCTGACACAGCCGCAGCCAAGTAAAACATCGCAGAAGGGCCTGCAAAGAGAAACACAAGGTGTAACAAATCGGCGAGGTACGGTATAGGATCAGCTTCTTGTCAACTCGGGTTCCCCAGCTGAGATCCGTGGGTAAGCGAGAGGCAAGGGGATAAGTGGCTGCAGAGAAAGGCTGTGCTTCCAGGCAAAAGGGTACTCCTAGGGCACGCACCTAGCGGATTAAGTGCCTGGGCCGCAGCCTGCAACAGATGCAAATAGTCCGCCAAAGTGGTGAACTCCACCGCCAGGAAGGTGCCTGCAGCCGCAGCCTCCTGGTAGCATCTCAGAGCCGCAGCAAAACCCGGAAGTGCATTCTCCTCGGCCTCCAGGCTCAGCAAGCCCGAAAGGGCTGGGCCCGAAGGCCGCAGAGCGGACAGCCAAGTCTGGGGTGGGAAGCGGTGGGCATAGGGGAAGGCGGAGCGAGCGCGATACAAGAACAGCACCCCGTAGCCGGCGGCTAGGAAGACCTCGGCCGAGGTTGCACCACGCCGCCCGCTGCTGAAGTTGTCCAAGAAGCGCACCGGCCGCGCTTCCAGTGGGACCTTGGTGCCGCCTGACGTGACCAACACCACCCGCCGGCCCTGCGCGCCCAGCCTGGCCGCGAAGCGAGCCATAACCTCAGCCCAGCGCGCAGCACCGGGAGGTTGGGGGAACTCGGCTACCGGGTCCATTTCCGCCATCTGCCCCGCAGCGGCCGGCGCCTGCGCACGCTCCGCGGCAGACGCGCCACGCCCCTTTTCCCCTACCTGGTGTAAACGCCGGGCCGCAGTGAGCGGGCGGTTCACTACCCTCGTTTTGACGCTAGGTCCCGATCTCGCCAAATCTGGAAATGCGTAGTTGTTCTGCCCCAGAGCCCAGCGAAAGTGACACTGCAACGAGGGGGATCCCCGGCTGCGTGGGCATCTGGTAGGGTCACGCTCCTTCACGTTCGTTTCCTAGCCTGGGTGAAGAACTGGCCATGTTTGACCCTTACCGGCCACTGTATGGGCCTTCATGGACTTGGACTCCTTGGGAGTCGTTTCTCGGCCATTTGACCCGTAGGACTTGTGGGTTTTGTGCTTCTTTTTATTTCTTTCTTTCCCTTTTTCAGCTTCAGCGATAGACCCAGATGTTAGTCGAGTCACGTCCCACCGCCCTCTGCCCTCGAAATGCTGCCAAGTACGCGGGCCCGCGATTGTCACGTGACGCCGGGGTTCAGCGTATCCTCGCCGGGCAACCGTCTTAGAGACCAGCATCTCTGGCTGCAACATGAATGTGATCTATCCACTGGCGGTCCCCAAGGGGCGCAGGCTCTGCTGTGAGGTGTGCGAAGCCCCAGCTGAGCGGGTGTGCGCGGCCTGCACAGTCACTTATTACTGGTAGGCCCTGAAACGTGGCACCTGGGCGCTTTAACTCCCTCCCTCTCTCCCATTCCCGGGTCTGGCTTGGGTATCTTGCGTTAGCCGTGGCCCCTGGCTCTGCAAGGGATGCCTCAAAAACAGGGGCTTTAAGACAGGCCCCTAAGACTCCCGTGGCCTCGTCTGCCTCATCTCCCACTTACTCATTCGTCATTCATGTTTTCTGAAGGCCTACTATGTGTTACGCACTATTTTAGGTGCTGAAGTTACTTTGGTAGCTTGGTAGATAAGTTCCTTCAAAGATCTAACATTCTAACGTGGGAGACAAATCAGTAAAGAAACAGGCCGGGCGTGGTGGCTCACGCTTGTAATCCCAGCACTTTGGGAGGCCGAGGCGGGTGGATCACCTGAGGTCAGAAGTTCGAGACCAGCCTGGCCAACGTGGTGAAACCCTGTCTCTACTAAAAATACAAAAATTAGCTGGGAGTGGTGCTGGGCGCCTGTAATCCCAGCTACTCCGGAGGCTAAGGCGGAAGAATCGCTTGAACCCGGGAGGCGGAGTTCGCAGTGAGTGGAGATCGCGCCACTGCACTCCAGCCTGGGCGACGAGAGTGAGATGATAGTGAATGGGGCAGTGTGTGGAAAGCTTTCTCTATGGAAGAAACATTTGAGCTGCGTTTTGAGAGGACAGTCAGAACCTGCTGTGTACAGCAGTAGTGAAGAAGGATAGGGCATTCCTGGCATCCGGGACTGCTAGGGCAAATGGCAAAAGAAGAGAGTTTGCTAACAGCTGAGTGGAGAACATAGTAGTGGAGGGAGCAGTCGGTGATTTTGAAACTGCAGGCCAGGGCCCTTTAGCAGTTTATGAGTAAGTCACAACCATCATTTAGAGAAAACAACAACAACAAAGAAGAGCATAGAATGAGTAGAACGTATCAGGTTAATCCTACCTGAACTGTTTCTTGAAACTTTTGTCTTAGTGTTTTATGTGGGCGTGTGTACAGGGAAAACGTATTTCTTACTATAGGTTGAGTCAAAATTAGCCAGGTGTGGTGGCACACACCTGTAATCCCAGCTACTCGGGAGGCTGAGGCAGGAGAATTGCTTGAACCCGGGAGGCGGAGGTTGCAGTGAGCCAAGATCACTCCATTGCACTCCAGCTTGGGCAACAAGAGTGAAACTCTGTCTCAAAAAAAAAAAAAAAAAAGTTGGAATATCATTGTGATAGGTAGTAGAAGTTTAAACCAAGAAGATAAAGGTTAGGGCCAGACAGTGACATGAGATCAAGGGTTTGGAATTTATCCCCTGGGAAACCATGGATGGTTTTGAGCTGACATGCTCTCATTTGTGTTAACGAAAGAGGATGGGCTGCAGTGTGGAAGATACAGAGGAAGGTAGACACTGCTGGCTGCATAACAAATTAAGAAGCTGTTGCAGTACCTTCTCATACTGGCCTAGGTGTCCTCCCTCAGTGCTCTGAAAGCACTGAGTATGTTCCCTATCCTAACACTTAGAACATGGACTGAAATCATTTTATTTATTTCCTTCATTAGGCGTATGCCCCACAAGGGTAGGGATGGCATCTGTGTTTTCATTGCTATCTCCTCTTTGGTGGCTTCATTGCATTTAGAATATAATTCAGAATTTGTAACAGAAAATACAAGGCCCTGGCTATTTCTCTACCTTTACTTCCCACCGCACTCACCCCATTTTTTCTTTGCTGTAGTTATAGAGAACTGAAGTTCTAATTTGCTAAGTCCTTTCTTCCCTCAGTTTCTTTTCCCAGACTGTTCTCTCTGCTAGGAACCTCCCCTTCAACTACAAGCCTTCCTGGCTCTCTTTCATCCTTCAGTTCTCAGTTTAAATGTCGTTTCTTCAAAGAGATCTTAACCCAGTCTCAACTCGCTGTCATACTTTTCTCACTCACAGTACCACTTTTCTTTGCTTTTTCTGTACTTTTATATTTTTGTGTTTGCTTATCTGATGTCTATGTCTTTTACTAGGCCCAGTGCCCACACATACCAGACACTCAATGAACATCTGTTGAATAAAACTAAATGGATAATAAACCCATTAACTTGGGCAAGGAACACAGGGGGAAAAGATGGTGGGCGTCAGATTTGGTTGTGGGCATAGAGTTTGAGAGGCCTTTGGGTCATCCCTGGAGAGATGACCAGTAAACAGCCGTGAGTAAAACCTGCCACTCAGGCTTGGGAAAGATTCAACCCTTTTGCCTGGTGTGAGCACTGACTTTTTCCTTAAAACACCCCTGTCCTCTTTATCCCTCCAGCCGGAAGTAATTCCTTCTTCCTCTGAACTGACTTTACAGTACTCTGTATCTCTCAGATGACTCATCTCATATTTCCCTTCATTTTAATTGTTGGTGAGTGTGTTATTTCAATTTTGTTATGCTCCATTAATGCTAGATACTACGTTAAATGTGTACAGAGGGACTATCAAGTATGCTAACTTTTGATCTATGTCTGACCTGTCATTGTATGCCCCGTAGTCTCTAGCAAAGTGTCTTGAAATCATTGGCATTTGTGCTTTTATTCCTTGGGCCAAAAAATAAAAAATAAAAACATGAAAAAAAGAAAGAAATAGTTGGCACTAATATCTGATGAATGCATGTATGAATTATCATCTTCTATGCCCTTCTATTTTTTTTCTTTTACTTATTTTACTTGCTTTTAATTCTCTTTAAGACCTTCTCCTTTTGTTTTTTTGCTTCCTTTTCTCCAGATTTCTATGTCTTTGTGTCTTGGAGTTTTCAAGATTTTTGATAAAACAAAACTGAGGTCGTTGTTCTGTAGGTTTTGATGGTTGAATGTAAAGCACCTAGTACCCTGCCTGGAACCACATTGGCACACAGTAAATGTTCTTTTTCATCATCCCAAGTTTAAGGAGCAAGAAAGTCAGTTTGAATTTGTGAAAGTTTTTTTCTGTAAAAGAATTTTTTTTCTGATTATAAATGCAGTTCATGCTCACTGCAGAAAACCTGAAAATATAAAAAATAAAGAAGAAAAATAATCCATAATCCCACAACCCAGAGATTAATAACCTGAAATTTTGATGAATTTCCTTTTCTCTGAATACATTTATTTTATATATTGTGTGTAATCTTGTGCATATTGCTCTATAGTGGATTACAACCATTCTCAGAGAATAGCACATTTTTATTTACTTAGAGACACAGTAGAACTTTTATTTTTTTATTATTTTTTTGTGACAGAGTCTTGCTCTGTCGCCCAGGCTGCAGCGCAGTGGCATGATCTCAGCTCACTGCAACCTCCAACTCCCAGGTTCAAGCAATTCTCTTGCCTCAGCCTCCCAAGTAGCTGGGATTACAGGGATGCGCCACCATGCCTGGCTAATTTTTTTGTATTTTTAGTAGAGATGGTGTTTCACCATATTGGTCAGGCTGGTCTGGAATTCCTGACCTTGTGATCCGCCCTCCTCGGCCTCCCAAAGTGCTGGGATTACAGGACATTAGAACATTTTTAAGAAAAGGTAATTTTATGGAAGTACATACTAAAACATTGGTGACAGGTAAAAGAGACTTCAGTATCATAGGTTTGCATGAATTTAAATGTCTTTAGTCAGGGCATACATTCTGTAATTCACTACAAATACTGTTGCTTCCTGTTCTTGAATACCACTTCACCGTTTGTTTTTTCCTCCTGGCCAGTGAAGGCATTTAAGTTTGTGCTCCGTATGTCAAACAAAAGGAAAAATTGTTGCAAAAAATGTTGCAGATTACTAACAAAACAAACAGTGAAGTGGTATTCAATAATAGGAAGCTATAGGATCAGTGGTGAATTGTAGAATGAATGCCCTGCCTAAAGACATACAAATTCAGCTTAAAAAAACATGATAATAGCCAAATAAAACATGTCTGGCTCACAAGCTACTTAATTGTGAGCCCCGATTGAAAGCATTTATCCATTCCTACTTTATCCCTGACCCTGTGTTACGAGTGGGACAGATCAATAAGCAGGAAGCCCGCAAATATATAAATAAAGCTCACTTTGTTTAGAAAGGCAAAATATGTCAGTTGCTCTCATTGGAACAAAAGTTCAGGCATCTAAGTTAAGATTTCCATTGCTTACAAGCCCCGCTTGATAAATTCCCTGTGGAACTCAGCTATATCCTGGCTAAGTGCTTTTATTGATCTGTTTATAATAATTCTCTACCTCCCCAAAAACATTTTTAAATGGTTTCTGTTATTTCTTTGGTAGCAGTCACAACTTAATAAAGAAAATACTTTAATTGCATTTCTGTTGTCCAAGAAGGTGGCGATATTGTCCAAGAAGGTGCTTGAACATGGCTGTATGTTGTCTGTGGCTGCTTTTGTGCTACAACAGCAGAGTTGAGTAGTTGCAACAGAGACCCTATAGCTCTCAAACCTAAAATATTTATCTGACCCTTTACAGAAAAACTTTTCTGACCCCTCCTCTAGATTATTGTTACCTGTTTTGAAATACGTATAAATGGAATCAAACAGTTAACTCACATTTAAGTGAAAATGTGTAATAAGCAATAGAAATGCAAAAACTCATAATTGTATGCATCTAACAACAGAGCCTCAAAATACATGAAGCAAAAACAGACAAAATTAGAGAGAAAAATAGACAATTTAATAATAATAGTTGGAGACTTCAATATCCTACCTTCAGTGATGAACAGAACTAGATGAAAGATCCAATATCCCACTCTTAGTAATGAATAGAACAACTAGATAGAAGATCAAATATCCCACTTTCAGTAATGCATAGAACAATTAGACAGATTAGCAAGGAAATATAAGACTTGAACCATACTATAAACCAACTAGACCTAACATATCTATGGAACACCATTCAATAACAGCAGAATGCCTATTCTTCTGTAGTGCATATAGAACATTCTTCAGGATAGACCCTATGTTAGACCATAAAGTAAATCTCAATAAATTTATAAGGATTGATTTCATACAGAGTATGTTCTCCACCTACATGGAATGAAATTAGTAGTCAATAACAGAAGGAAAATTGGTAAGTTTACAAATATGTAGAAATAACACACTCTTAACCAATGAGTCACAGAAGAAATTACAAGGGAAGTTAGAAAATGCTTTGAGATAAATGAAAACAAAAACAACATACTAAAACTTAGATGCTGGCAAAGCAGTACTCAGAGGGTACTGTATGCATTTAGTACTCATATGAATTTATACTAATATACATTACATTAAAAAGAAGATCTCAAATCAGTAACCTAGCATTTCATCTTAAGAAACTAGAAAAAGAAGAGCAAATGAAAACATATTTATAAACTCCTTTATGTACAGCCCTGCATTGGGTATAGACACAAGCTAGCAGAAGAAAGGAAAATTAAAGATTATAGCAGAGATAAAACAGAGAATAAAGAAACTACAGAGAGAATCAATGAGACCAAAAATTGGCTCCTTGAAAAGACCAACAAAATTGACAAACCTTTAGCTAGGTTGACTGGCCTAGAAAAGAAGATTCAGATTACTAAAATCAGAAATGAAAGTGAAGACATTACTACCAACCTTGCAGAAATAAGAGAGATTATAAGAGAACACTATGAGCAGTTGCATGCCAGTATCCCTGTGTGACTTCAGAATGTGAATGTGTGCCTGCAGAAACAATATACTCTCCAATCCCAACACAGTTTATACACCATCAAATAACCACATGAAAAAAAAAGAGATTTGAGTCTCAGAAATGGCTTTGAGCTCCCTGCCTGGTTTGTGTTTGGCTTACTTTTCTGGTGTCTAGGGATAGGTCAGTAGGAGGGTTAATGGAATCTTAAGTCATGCCAAATATAAAGATCATGAAGTCTATGTTTCTGTTGTCAGTGGGGTGGTACATCAGAAAGCTGACTGGGACAGCATCCATGAGAAAATATGTCAGCTCTTGATTCCACTGCGCACTTCTATGCCCTTCTACAATTCAGAGGAAGAACGGCAGCATGGCCTGCAGCAGCTGCAGCAGCGGCAGGTAGGGCCTACAGCACTTTCCAAGGTCAAGTCGTAGGTGCGGTGAAGCTGCCCAAGACAAGGGTCGAACTGTGTTGAGATCACTAAATTGTAACTTCACTGAGGGCAGAGACTTTGTTTTATATCTTTTTAAGTCCTCAGTACCATTCAGTCTGTTGTTTTCCACATTTACTAAATACTCACTGTATTAGTCTGCTAGTGCACAACCAAATACCACAAACTGGGTGGCTCAAACAGCATACATTTATTTCCTCACAGCTCTGGAGGCTGGGAAGTCCAAGATCAAGGGGTCAGCAGGTTTGGTTTCTTCTGAGGCCTCTCTTCCTGGCTTGCAGATGGCTGCCTTCCTGCGGTATCTTCACGTGGTCCTTTGTGTGCAAGCATCCCTGGTATCTCTTTGTGTGTCCAATTTCCTCTTTTTATAAAGGTACAAGTCAGATTAGATTAGGGCCTACCCTAATGGCCTCATTCTAACTTAATCACCTTTCTACAGGCCCTAGCTCCAATTATAGTCACACTGTGACAGACTGCAGGTTAGGGCTTCAACACATGAATTTTGGCGGGGGACACAGTTGAGCCCATAACATCCACAGATGCCAAGAGCCTGGCCATGTAATAGGAGGGTTAAGAATGATGTATGGATATACTACTGAATAAATAAAGGAGGTTAGCAAAACTTGCCACTATTATGTATAATGTTGAGTATTACTGAGTATTGAGCATCTCAATTACTCTAAAAAATTAGCGCCTTATTATAAGCCATAAATCCCTAGACATAAGATCCATCCATTTTAGTGTTATGACACTTTGATAGTGGCCTTAGAACAATGCAGAGTTAAAATTTTTTGTGATGTTAGCTAAACAGGATAATTCTGGAAGGGAAAATGAGATGTTTCTCTCAAAATTAACTCAACTATGAAGGCAGAAAGTTTCCGATTATCCTGAGACATGCTAGCTTTGCTAAAGTAAAGTTTTATTAGAACTATAAGAATAATACTCATTTATTCATCTGATAACTCTATATTGAATGTTCATCTATGCCAAGCACTGAACTAAGATAAAAAGACACATGTTCCTGGGCCTTAAGGAACTCATAGTCCAGAGTTTACCTTCTTATATCACTTATGTGGGGCTTCACATCCACTCTAATACAGGGAGGCTCACTATGTGCCCTTAACTGGGTCATTAGGTGTTGGCCTTATCCCCAGGGCCATCTACATCCACCTCTGCCTTTAACTTTAGACTGTCTCAGATAGTCTGTTTCTCTCTTCCACAGAAGTATTTGATTGAATTCTGCTACACCGTAGCCCAGAAATACCTCTTTGAAGGGAAACACGAAGATGCTGTACCAGCAGCTTTGCATTCCCTTCGCTTCCGCGTGAACCTGTATGGCCTGAGCTCTGTAGAGCTTGTGCCTGCTTACCTGCTGTTGGCTGAGGCCAGCCTTGGTGAGTGAAACCGACTTGAGATCCCTGGATCCCTTAAGTGGTGCTATGTTTGGGTCACACCAATGATCAAAGAGTCACCCTTGACAGTGGCACTAAGACACCTATTGTAGAAGGAGCAGGGTTGCTGTAAAAGTTTAGCACAAGGTAGGGAAGGAGATGTCACAGACTTTTGTCTACAACTGGCAGAAATCCACTCAAGCTGGCCTGCACATAAAGGAGGAACTTTGTGAGGGTACTGTAGTATCCTACGGGAGCTGAGGCTTCATGAGGGACTAGAATTAGAATGCTGTAAGGAACCAAGGCTGGTGTCTTTCGTTCTCTCTCTTGGGCCTTGTCTCCTGTCTCTACTTCTCTCTTGGTGTCTGCTTTGCTATTTTCCCTCTCTGCAGACCAGATTTGTCTACCCTATGCTCACTGTAGAAGACAGCTACCCCAAAATGTCAGATGGCATTTTTCAATTTACATGTTTTCTCGGTTCAAGGTAGGCAGTAGAAACTAATTAGCTTCTGATTTCCAATTACAAATTCGTAGAAGACAGAATTTTGTTGACATAGCTTGAGTGTGGGATCCACCTTTGTTCCCTGGGATCAGAGTCACATAGTTCAGAAATACAGGAACCTACCCCTATAGATGGGAGAGGCAATTCTGAGAGTATGGAGCAGACTTAGCAGACACCCTACGTGGTGGCTACTACAAAAGGAAAACTGGCATTTTGAGAGGAATTGATATTTTGAGCAATGCGGTGTTTTAGGCACTGTGCTACGACTTCATATATTTTAATAGCTACCGTTTAAAAAATGCTTCATACGTTTTAATAGCCACCATTTAAGAAAATACTTTTTTAAAAGTAAAACTGTTAAAATTAAGTACAGTATAAAGAACTTTTATCCCCTAAGTTCTCTGAGAGTAAGTTGCCTTCCTGGTTCCCTATCATTAGAATACTTCAGTGTCCCCTTAGTAAATGAGATAGATTGTATTGTGGTTAGGTAGGAAAATGTCTTTGTGGGAACCACACAAGGGGACCCTGTCATCTAAGAAGACCCTATGCAAGTTTCTCAGATTTTCCCAATAACATCTTTATAGCAAAAGGATACAGTTCAGGATCACACTTTTCATTTTGTTGCCATGTGTTGGCAACAAAACTCTGAAATAGTTTCTTAACCTTTTATTGACTTTTACGACCTTGACACTTTTAAAAGTTACAGGCCAATTGTATAAAACATCTCTCAGTTTGGGTTTGTCTGATATTTCCTAATGATGGGGCTCAGGTTATGGATTTTTGGCAAAAACAGTACAGAGGTGATGCTCTGTTCTCATCCCATTCTATAAATTGGCATGTTTTCATTTTTTTTCATTACTGATGATGTTCATTTTAATTACGTTATTAGGATGGTGTCTGCCAGGCTTCCTCCTTGTAATGTTACTCTTTCCCCCTTCTGTAATTAATAACCTTAATTTTCATCTCTTGGAGAGGTCCTTTGAAACTATATAAATATTCCATTCCTCATCAAATTTTCAGCGTATTTATTTAGTTATTTATATCAGTATTGCCTCTTTATTCAGTGGGCTTAAATCCATTACTATCATTAATTTGATGCTCAAACCGTCCCTGATTTGACCAGTGACAGCTCCCACTCAAGCTGGCTTCTACATCTCCTAGATACAACCCCATTTGTTCTTTGCTCACTTTACTGCTTTCTGGAACATACCTCTAAAGAGCCCTGATTTCTTTCAGTGGAAAGTGAAATTCAGAAGCCAAAAGCTGTGCACTAGATGTACTCATGCCATTGGGGTGTTACTGCTCCCAGGCCTTCTCAGTGGAGTTAGGGAGTAAGTTTAAATATAATAATGGGTATATGTATACACACATTACATCTGTATTTATTTCTATATGTATATATCTTTTTTTTGGGGGGGGGACCGAGTCTCACTCTGTCACCCAGGCTAGAGTGCAGTGGTGCAATCTGAGCTCACTGCAGCCTCCCCCTCCCTGGTTCAAGCAGTTCTTCTGCCTCAGCCTCCCGAGTAGCTGGGACTACAGGTGCACACCACCACGCCTGGCTAATTTTTGTATTTGTAATAGAGACAGGGTTTCATCATGTTGGCCAGGCTGAGCTTGAACTCCTGGCCTCAAGTGATCCACCTGCCTCAGCTTCCCAAAGTGCCGGGATTAGAGGTGTGAGCCACCGTGTCCGGCCTATGTCTATATATCTACATCAATATCTGCATGACCACTAGTCTATACTGTTTGATCCAGATCTAATACAGCACCACAGGGTTCAATCTGATTTACTCCCATTCCATAATTGCAACTCTCTTTGCTGACAGCTTTCACTTTCATTAGTTTATTTATATGTTAATCAGTTCCCCTGTATGAACAAATCCCTGCTCTCTAACTCCATCCTTTCCACCTTACAGATACCTTCTCCCCCTCCATGGCCTCTGACTCCCCATTCCAGGCTGCCTCTGCTGTGTGGATCCCTTCTCATTTGTGGGGGTTCTGACCCCCGATACCAGGCTGTTTGCCTGCAGGAATGCCCTGCTCACCCTGCTCAGGTCTGACACCCCATTCCAGACTGTCTTTCCTCCAAACTAATGAGAAAAGCACTGGACAAGAAAATACAGCCCAGGTTCTGTTTATCTCTGACACTGGCTAGCTATGGGATTCTGGAAAACTCACCCTAGCCCAAGTCTCATCATCTCTCATCTAGACCACTGCCTACTAACTGGTCTCCCCACATCTTCTCTGGTCTCCCTCCAATCTTGTTTGCATACAGAAATGTGACCCATCACTCCTCTGAATAAAGATCATATTTCTTTTTTTTTTTTTTTGAGACGGAGTCTCGCTCTGTTGCCCAGGCTGGAGTGCAGTGGCCGGATCTCAGCTCACTGCAAGCTCCGCCTCCCGGGTTTATGCCATTCTCCTGCCTCAGCCTCCCGAGTAGCTGGGACTACAGACGCCTGCCACCTTGCCCGGCTAGTTTTTTGTATTTTTTAGTAGAGACGGTGTTTCACCATGTTAGCCAGGATGGTCTCGATCTCCCGACCTCGTGATCCGCCCGTCTCGGACTCCCAAAGTTCTGGGATTACAGGCTTGAGCCACCGCGCCCAGCCTAAAGATCATATTTCTAAAGCAACCCATGAGGCTGTGCTTGATCTAGCCCTTAGCAGGTTCTCCCACCTCAATTCTATCACCTTGTCTCTCTTGGATTCTTTTCTCCCTCCTTTCCAGTTACACTGACCAGCCTTCTCTCAGTTCCTCAGAAGCATGATGATTTCTTTGTTCGGAAAGGCTTTTCTGTAGCCACTCTCTCTGCTTCTCCTCCTCTTCCCTTCACCGAATTAACTCCTCATATCTTTCAGGTTTCAGCTCAAGGGTAACTACCACCTTGTCTAGAAGCTTTCCCAGGGCTCCAGACCAGGTTGGGTCTCCCTTTTTTTTTTTTTAAGACAGAGTCCCAGTCTGTTGTACAGGCTGGAGTACAATGGCCTGACTTGCTCACTGTAACCTCTGCCTCCCAGGAGCAAGTGATTCTCCCGCCTCAGCCTCCCGAGTAGCTGGGACTACAGGCACACGCCACCATGCCCAGCTATTTTTTGTATTTTTAGTAGAGATAGGGTTTCACTATGTTGCCCAGGCTGGTCTTGAACTCCTGACTTCAAATGATCCACCCACCTCAGCCTCCCAAAGTGCTGGGATTACAGGTGTGACCCACCGCACCCAGCTGGGTCTCTTTTTTAATATACTCATTTAAAGACCTACTTCTTTCTTCTGAGCACTTACTTCATTAATAATTATATTCATTGATGAGATTATTTAATTGTCTCCCTGCTCCAGTAGACTGTAAGCTCAGGGAGAACTGGATCTGTGTCTGTTCTTACTCATCACGGATGTCTTCATGCTCAGCCCAGTACTTAGCACAGAGAAGGTACTAAAAAAATAATTTCACAGTACCTGAAACCTAGTGAGCACTGTGTAAGTATGTGTTGAATCTGAGTTCTCTTAACAGGATTATTTTAAGGACGAAATGAGTTCAAGTGTAATGACCATGAAAGTGCTTTGAAGTCTGGAAAGTGCTGTCTAAATGGAAGATTTCACTGTAACTCCACAGCCATTGGTTTAAAACCTTGCTAACCTTTTTGGAAGTCTAAAGAAATCACTTTCCTGTGTACATGTTTCTTTCCCATCTTAGAGATTCCTTCAGACTGGAGTGGACAGATAACAGATATTCAGCTTTATTTTTCCTTTTTAGTAAAACTTTGAAATTTTAATCAACTAGAAATGACATTTTCAGTAACACTTCAAGGAGGAGCCACCTACTTATCTTCTCCCACTGTTATCAGTGCTTTGGAAGCAGGAGAGCCTGGGTTCAAATATCAGCTCTTTCTTTACTGGCTAGGTGATCGTAGGCACCAAGCTCTTCCTCACTCAGAGCTTTCACATATATCTCCTTCTGCCTGGGATGCTCTTTCCTTTCTCATACATGGCTGGCTTTTGATCGTCCTTCAGGTGTCTGCTTAAACTGACCAGGTGTGGTGACTCACACCTATAATTTCAGCACTTCGGGAGGTCAAAATGGGAGGATCTCTTGAGCCCAGGCATTCAAGATCAGCCTGGGCAACGTAGCAAGACCTCATCTCTAAAAAAAAAAAAAAGAAAAGAAATTAGGTGGGCATGGTGGCATGCACTTGTAGTAGTCCCAGCTATTTGGGAGGCTGAGGTGGGAGGATTGCTTGAGCCCAGGAGGTGGAGGCTGCAGTGAGCTAGGATTTTGGTTACTGTGTTCTGTTCATTTCCTTCACAGCACTCATGTTTTGTCTATTTATTGTATGCCTACTTCAATTGATTTTAAGCTTCTTGGAGTCAGGGATCATGTCTCAGTGTGCATTGAGCGTCACACATTGTGATAATCAATCAATTAGGTGAATATATGGTTGGTTGAATGAATGAATGAAGTTGCCTCCTCTTTGAATTCCTCATCTGATAATTATTTCACAGGACTGTTGGCAGACTTAGACCACAGATGCAAAGGGACTAGCACAATGTCGGGCAAATAACAGGTCTTCAATAAATGCAGATTCCCTTTTCTTCCCCTGGGCACCTCACAGCCACAGCCTTTGACTCAGCTGTGACCGCTGTATGCTGCATTCCTTCACTTTCATCACCAAGTCCTGCAAAATCTTCTCCCATAATATGTCCCAGATCTGCCATTAACCCAGTGTAAGCCTGTGGCCTCACCCTTCAGACAAGTACCACTGGTCTGTAAGTGGCTGTCCTTTCTCAATTCCATGAACTATTAAAATCACCCTAAGGGATAGTATCACTTCCTTTATGTCTTCACCACCTCCACTTCACCCTATGCCTCTCCAGGCAGGCATTGTCCATAAGAGGCAGGCCTGAACTTACACACTCACTGGTCACAAGCTTAGTTCTGACTGTAATCTCATGGGCTAGTAGCAGTCCATTCTTCTCACCTTACTCTCTCTCTCTAGCCTCACAGTTTATTCTCCCAAGTATGCCTTTTCCTTTAGGACTGATGCTTGTTTAGCTGCTGGTTCAGCTGGGCCTTGGAGTCTTCCTTCTTTGGCATTGCCTCCTTGAGTGAGAACTGGATGTTGAAAATTTTAAATTTCCAATATCTGTCAATGCCCTGTACCCTTTTTTTCCCCATCTAAACAATCTTAGTTAAGAGTCATTTGCTTCTTCAAATTTGAGAGGACTTCAGTCTAAACCTCATATTTTATAGACAAAGCCTGGAGGGAAGATGTGACTAGCCATGTTCACATGAGCCAGGATCAGGGACTAGGCCTCGAGCTCCTAATCTAGTAGTTTCCCATTTTAGTTTGCCCTTTGACCTTCCATCAGGTAAAGTTACTTGGTTCTCCTTGTAGACTGCTTCCTCTTCATCTCTTTTCCTTTTCTTCAGTAATGTAGGGTTACAACTAGAATAAAAGCATGCTTACATATGAACTAGGCCTGACAGGAAGGACACAGAGGAGAAGAGGGTTGGCTTATGAGGGGTTCGTGTCCTTATCTCCTGACCCTTCATTGGTGTGGTTTCTGCTGCAGCAGCTGTCACACCAATGCTTCACCCCCAGAGCACACCTCCTGCCCTGCAGCATGCTGACGTAGTGGCTTTCTATTCAGTTCCGACACATTTCCCTAGGAGCCAAGCAGGTAGGCAGGCCTCTGTATGTGTAAAGATGATAGGTAATAAACAAAAAGCTTTAAGTGTCAAGAGTATCTGAATATTAGCAATAAAGGTGGCTTTCCTTTCTCTTACCTTCCACATTACTTAGTAACCGTGTGTTGTCCATTCTACTTCCTGTCTCTTTTGGATTGCCTCCTACTTCGTTCACTGTCTTGTTTCAGGCTCTTAAGCGTGCTTGCCCAAACTGTTTCAGACATCTTCCAGTGAATCTTCTACCTTTATTCCTCCCTTCTGATCCCTCCTCCACATTGGTTCCAGAGGAACTTTCTAAATTTAAATCCGATTCTCTCGCCCTTTTTGAAAATCCTCTAGTTTTTATCCACATGCATCAAGTTCCTTGGCATACCTCACTAAGCCCTCCATGACTTGCCCCCTGCCTACCACCGTAGCCTCATTTTCTGCCACTCTGTCCTTCACAATTTGTGCTCCAGCATCACAGGCCAATACAGGTGGCCCTCCATATTTGCAGTTTCTGCATCTGCCCATTCAAGCAACCATGGATCAAAAATATTTTTTAAAATAACACAATGATTAAAAATGATACAAATAAAAACAATACATGATGTTACTTGTGGGCTTATAAACAAAAAAAGAAAAAATTTAAACTTAAAAAAGACAAATGATATAGTAGAACAACTATTTACATAGCATTTACATTGTATTAGGTATTATAAGTAATTTAGAGATGATTTAAAGTATGAGGAATGATGTGCATAGGTTATGTGCAAATACTGCACTACTTTATATTAGAGCCTTGAGCATCCTTATATTTAGGTATCTGATAGGGGTTCTGGAACCAAATCCCTGCAGCTATGACTCTGTATAGTTCTATGAACATAACATATTATTTCATATTTCTGTGACATTGCACATGCTGTTACTTCTGCCTGGGATGCTCTCCCTGCCTTATCTACCTGGAAAACTTCTTTTCATCCTCAAAACCCAGCTCAGACTCTGCTTCAGTGTCACTCTCATCTCATCTGTAGAATTAAACATTTCCTATCCTCTGACACTTCCAAAGCTTGTGTTTCTACTGCAATTATACTATATTGTAAATATATTTGTTTTCATGTTGCACGTTGAATCCCCATCACTCAAACAAGGCCTGGCACATAAAGGGTATTAAATATGCATATATATATTTCACAATTGAGATATAATTCACATATCATAAAATTCACTCTTTTAAAGAACAATTCAGGCGAGACGCAGTGTCTCACACCTATGTTCCCAGCACTTTGGGAGGTCAAGGCGGGTGGATCACCTGATGTCAGGGGTTTGAGACCAGCCTGGCAAACATGGTGAAACCCTGTCTCTACTAAAAATACAAAAATTAGCCCGGCGTGGTGGCGCATGCCTGCAGTCCCAGCTACTTGGGAGGCTGAGGCATAAGAATCACTTGAACCCTAGAGGCAGAGGTTGTAGTGAGCCGAGATCGTGCCACTACACTCCGGTCTGGGTAACAAAGTGAGACTCTGTCAATAAATAAATAAATAAATAGACAATCCAGTGGTTTTAGCACATTCTGTAGGTTGTGCAACAGTCACCATGATCTAATTCCACAACATTTTCATCACTCCTGAAAGAAAGCCTGCAATTGTCAGCAGTTACTCCCTCTTAGTGCTTCCCTTGCATTGGACCCCCTGTGGTTGCTTGGCCACCACTAGTCTACTTTCCATCTCTATGGATTTGCCTGTTCTGGACATTTCATATAAATGGAATCACATAATATGTGGCCTTTGGTGTCTGGTTTCTTTCACTTAGTGTAGTGTTTTCAAAGTTCACCCACATTATAGCAGGCATCACTACTTCATTCCTTCTTATGACTAATATTCCACTCATGGAGATGGAGATGGAGATGGAGATGGAGATGGAGATGCCTCCTTTTGTTCATCCACTCATCAGCTGATGGACATTTACATTGTTTCTGGGTTTTTTTTGACTCTTCCAAATAAGCTGCTATGAACTTTCCTGTGAGAGTTTTTGTGTGTCAATAAATACTTGAGTCAATGAATACATGAGTGAATGGGTAATGACTCATATTTCCTCTTGTATTCTTTGACCCGGATATGAATTATAACCTTCTTTTCTGCTTTTGGGCAGGTCTGGGCCGAATCGTCCAGGCTGAAGAATATCTATTCCAAGCCCAGTGGACAGTCCTCAAATCAACTGACTGTAGTAATGCCACCCACTCTTTACTGCATCGGAACCTGGGACTTCTCTATATAGCTAAGAAAAACTATGAAGAAGCCCGTTATCATCTGGCCAATGATGTAAACAAGCTAAGTTATAACACCTGGATATTTCCAAAATCTAAATTATAACACCTGTGTATTTCCAAAGTCTGTTTTATTTTTTTTAAAACTGTGCATTTCTCTAAAACTTTCTGTTTACAACTGATTATTCGGTGGGATGTTAGCCATAACACAATTCTAATAACCTGAGATCAAGCATTTCTACTTCCTAGCTATTCAACCTTGGCCAGGTCACATATTCCTGAAGTTTCAGTTGCCCTGAAGAGTAAAGGGAGGCAAAACAGCACACTCGTTAAGAGAAGGGCTTTGCTGGCCGGGCATGGTGGCTCACGCCTGTAATCCCAGCACTTTGGGAGGCCAAGGTGGGCAGATCACCAGAGGTCGGGAGTTTGAGATCAGCCTGACTAACATGGTGAAACCCCGTCTCTGCTAAATATACAAAATTCGCTGGGTGTGGAGGCATGTGCCTGTAATTCCAGCTACTCGGGAGGCTGAGGCAGGAGAATTGCTTGAACCTGGGAGGCAAAAGTTGCAGTGAGCCGGGATTGCACTCAGCCTCCAAAAAAAAAAAAAAAAAAAAATTAGCCAGGTGTGGTGGTGTGTGCCTGTAGTCCCTGCTGCTCGGGAGGCTGAGGTGGTATGTGCCTGTAGTCCCAGCTGCTCGGGAGGCTGAGGCAGAAGAATCGCTTGAACCTGGGAGACGAGGTTGCGTTGAGCCAAGATCACACCACTGTACTCCAACCTGGGCAACAGAGGGAGACTCTGTCTTAAAAAAAAAAAAAAAAAAAAAAGAATTAGCACAACCTCAGATTCCGTAGCCTAGCTTTTTAAACACACACACACACACACACACACACACACACACACACCCCTTTATTGATATATACCATAAAATTCACCCATTTTAAGTGTACGATTAAATTATTTTTAGCAAATTTACAGAGTAGTGCAACCATCAGCACAATCAAGTTTCAGAACATTTCCATTACCCCAAAGAGATCCCATGTATCCATTTGCAGTCATTTCCCATTCCTGCTCCAGCCCCAGGCAACCACTTCCTGGTTCTACAGATTTGCCTTCTCAGGACAGTTCGAACAGACAGAATCATGAGTGGTCCTTTGCCTCTGACCTCTCTCACCTAGCATGATTATTTTGAGATTCATCCATGTGTCAATAGTTCATTCCTCTTATTGCTGATTAGCATTCCATTCCTAAATATACCACAGTTTGTCTGTCCATTCATCAGTTGATGGATGTTTTGATTGTTTCTGTGTTTTGTGTATTTTAAATAATGCTGATATAAACATTTATGTACAAGTCTGTGTGGACATTCGTTTCCATTTCCCTTGGGTAGGTACTTAGAAGAGGAATTGCTGGGTCATGTAGTAACTCTATGTTTAATTTTTTCAGGAACTACCAAACTGTTTCCACAGAGGCTGCACCCTTTTACATTCCCACTGGCAATGTGTGAGGGTTTCATTTTCTCCATATCCTTCCCAACACTTTTTATTTTCTGCATTTGATTCTAGCCATCCTAGATGCAGTGATATCTCATTATGGCTTTGTTTTGCATCTACCTAATTACTAACTATGTTAGCATCTATTCATGTGCTTATTTTTCATCTGAATATCTTTTTGGAGAAGTGTCAATTCAGATCTTTTGCCCATTTTTAAATTGGAATGTTGTAACAGTTTTTTATATGTATTCTAGATACAAGTCCTTTATCAGATATATGATTTGCAAAAAGAACTCAAGCACTCTCCTTCCTCCTGCTGTAGATTTATTTTGCCAGTTGTGCATTTGGAACAGAGGACATTAGGACTTCAGGAGGCTACTTCCACCTGGCTAATATATTCTATGACCTTAAAAAGTTGGACCTGGCAGACACATTGTACACCAAGGTGAGCTGGGGAATGTGGGAGTTGAGCCTTCACTCTTAGGCTTGGTGTCTTACAACTTGTATTAGACTATTCACGAAAAACATACCATTCATGAGAAAGAGAGGCACAGAGAGATGAAGTGGCTTGCCCAAGATTATATAGCCTGATACATGATATACTCCATTTTCTTTCTTCCCGTGTCCGCACTACCAAAATAGACTAACCCTTAACATCCATAGGGTGATTAATGAATAATGAAGGATAGGTCAGTAAGAGTCAAACCCTTCAAATAGACTGTTATATGCTGTGTCATACCCATAGCAGCAAGCTAATGTGGGTATATTGAAGTGTGCAATAGAGAAGAAGAGGTTTCCAAGGGAAATCTATTGCTACAAGATCCTGTCAAGGGATCCAAGAACATGAGAAATTTCCGTATTTACATAGGAAAGATTTCATACTGTTTCGAATATATTAAAATGTCATTTGTATCCATATAGTAACACCTCGCTTAGCAGGCAATCATTTGTGTAATAAATGTGTAATACAAACTTTCTGCTGATTGTTGATTCATGTTTTAGACCTGCTTCTGAAAAAGAGGCATTTTGCTGTAGCTTAAAAGCTTTAGAATCAGATAGACCAGGGATTAAATTCTGGCTATGCCACTTAACAGTTCTTACCAGAAGTCATGTGTGATCTGAACTTCTCTGAGCCTCAGTTTATTTACATGTAAAATGGGAAGAATAAGAATATTCTTAATATTAATAATAAGAATATTACATTGGGATGTTATGAGGATGTGAAGGTTTCGTGTTGTATGTGCTGCACAAAAGATAAGACCCCACTAGGGCTACCCCAAGATGAGCTGCCACAGGCCGTTTGCATCACTTGTCACACTTACCTTGGTCAGGCCTGTTTGGGCTCCTAGGGCTCCCTCTGCCTCCAGGTACAGTACGAGAGAGAACCTCCAGGTTGTCCAGAAGCCGGGCCAAATGCGCTATTCTCCTCACCTGCCTGGTCCGAAGGCTGAGATCTGGCCTGCTTTTTGTATTACCTTCTCTTTTCCCAACAGGTCTCTGAGATCTGGCACGCATATTTGAACAATCACTATCAAGTCCTCTCACAGGCTCACACCCAACAAGTGGATTTACTGGGCAAACTATTTGAGAATGACACTGGCTTGGGTAAGTGGCAGTTTTCCCTGAAGGCAGAGCAGTGACTTCATCTCACCCAATACACAGACCTCGTCCCTAAGAGGGAAAGCAGCTGTCCCTGTCATGAAGCACACCATTGCCACCTTCCCCATGTTGCTGATGGAGAAAACTGAGACACGGGGATCAAAGAGATTTTACCAGTGTTGGGAAGAATTCAGATCCCTATCATCACACATAGCCATTCGGGGGTTACTAAGGGACAGATTTAGAGGAAAAAAAGACCCCATCAAAACCCCCTGTGACTTCTGCAGAACATCCATTTCTTATGTTATCCCTCCAGGGCAGCAGTCCCAATCTTTCTGGCACCAGGGACCCGTTTCATGGAAGACAAGTTTTCCATGGACTGGGGGGTAGGGGAGGAATGGTTTCAGGAGAATTCAAGTGCATTACATTTATTGTGCTCTATGTTTTTATTATTATTAATGTATTGTAATATATAATGAAATAATTATACCTTGCATCATAATGTAGAATCAGTGGGAGCCCTGAGCTTGTTTTCCTACAACTAGATGGTCCCATCTGGGAGTGATGGGTGACAGTGACAGATCATCAGGCATTAGATTATCATAAGGAGTGCACGACCTAGATCCTTTGCATGCACAGTTCACACTAGGGTTCGCGCTCCTGAGAGAATCTGATGCTGCCGCTGAACTGACAGGAGGTGGAGCTCAGGTGGTAATGCAAGCAATGGGGAGTGGCTGTAAATACAGATGAAGCTTTGCTCACCCCCACCACCCCTGCTCACCTCCTGCTGCGCAGCCCGATTCCTAACAGGCCACAAAACAGTACTGGTCCATGGCCTGGGGATTGGGGACTCTTGCTCCAGGACATGTAAGCCAAAGTAGACTCTACACAGAAGTTGCATTGCTGATTTATTCTGGTGCCTTAGCTTCATGCTTTACTGAACAGTGAGCTGCTCAGTGGCAGGGCCCAACTGGATTAGACTGTATTCCCCAGCGCAGCAAGGGGCTAAGTGTTGAATAGTACCATACAGCATCATGCCGTCAGAGACAAAAGACACAGAAGATCCAGTTTCTGCTCAAAAGAGACATACAGTGCAGTTAGAATCTATAGGCAGTAACAAAAGAACATTCCTGTGAGTACAAATTATATTACAAGATGAGTCCCAGAATGAAGAGGTGAGGACAGCTGGGTGGTGTTGAAGAAGGAAGACTCTTTGGAGGAGAGGTTTTGAGCTAAAGTTTAAAAAATTAATAACTATTGAATTTTCTCGAATTATGTAAATAGTTCATGTTACAGCTGAAAACTTGGAAATCATAGATATCCAAAGATAGCCAACCTTAACATGATGGTGTATATCCTTTTCATCTTTTTCTCTAAGCTTAGTACTTGTATAAGTGCTTTTAAGTGCATGTAGTAACTTCTCAGTAAATGATGACTAAAGTAGGACCAAAAACTACTGGGGAAAATAGTAAACAGACTCTCAGAGGGAAGCATGAAGGTTGTTGCTTATGCATCTTTGGCCTAGACGAGAAGAGTTAAGCTGCTACAGCTGCAAGAAGTCCCTTCCCCCAGTTCTTTCCTCTCAGCTGTAGAGTGGAAGCTAAATTGGACCCAAGGAATCTGCCTGTGACAAATTCTCTGTGTTTGCAAGCCCAAGAGATCTAGAGTTCAGGACTCCGGAAGAGAGAAACCTTAGCAACTTTGGGACCTGTGGGAGTGAGCATATTTTTAGGCTACTCTGATGATGACATGCTAAGCAAAGCTGGAAAGTGGACTGAAACTCCTGCTTCCACGCACGTGGAGGGAGTCCTCTAGGTAAAAAACTTGCTGTAATTGGTGCTATTTCCACCAGTGCCCCTGGGAAGGCTTCAGCAGACCAGGCCCTTTAACAGCTGAGTGTTTTTGATGAGGGCAGACTCAGTTGCCAAGAGCCTGTTTTTTCTTTCTTCCGCTTCCAACGCAGATGAAGCCCAGGAAGCAGAAGCCATTCGCATCCTGACTTCAATCTTGAACATTCGAGAATCTACATCTGACAAAGCCCCTCAAAAAACTATCTTTGTTCTGAAGATCCTGGTCATGCTTTACTACCTGATGATGAATTCTTCAAAGGCAAGTTTCCCTAAAAAAGCAACACGTCTAAAATGAAGGTAGAAATTCATCTAGTTGAACTCATTTGTGTTTTGCCCAATTCCAATAGCTTTTGCCCTCAGGGCAAGCCCTCACTCCAAGGACGTTCAGATGCTCACGTTTCTCCTGTGTGGAGTCCAGCCTGCATAACGGAAGCTGGATTGTCTTCTTCCCCCGAGGGTTCCCAGGCTTGCATAGACAAAGGGAGTCTGGGGCAGTGCTGGGAAGCCTGCAGGGCAGGAGGGCTCTGGGGAGGCTTGGAGGGATGAAGTAGCAGCTCTAACTCCACTCGGTTACTGAGTTCCCCGTTGCTACGGGGATTCAGACAGAAATGCATTGCCATGAAATGATTCAAAAAGTAACTGTTTTTGAGTACTTTTACATACTAGTTGTTGGCCTAGACCCTTTACTTAATTATCATACTTAATGCTTACACCAACATTGGTAAGGTAGGTATTTTATTATCTCTACTTTACAAACAAGGAAACTGAGGCACTGAGAGGGTCAATTCTTTGCCCAATGTCTTAAAGACAGTAAGTGGCGTATCTCAGGTTTATTGATTTATTGTTTGATTATCTCATTCATTCAAACATTTATTGAAAACCTACCATTTGCAAAGCACTATTCTTGGGACTGGGGATACAGTGGTGATCCATACGTTTCTTATCTCCATGGCACTGGTGTTTTTTGGAGGAGTGGAAATAAACATATGTATGTCTAATATAATTTCAGATAGTAGGAACTGCTATAAAGAAAACTAGGCCAGGCACAGTGTCTCATGCCTGTAATCCCAGTACTTTTGGAGGCCAAGCCAGGATGATTGCTTATGTCCAGGAGTTCAAGACTAGCCTGGGCAACATAGTGAGACTCACTCTCTACTAAAAATTAAAAAAAAAAAATCAGCCGGGCATAGAGGTGTGCACCTGTAGTCCCAGCTACCTGGGAGGCTGAGATGAGAGAATTACTTGAGCCCAGGAGATTGAGGCTGCAGTGAGCCGTGCTTGTGCCACTGCACTCCAGCCTGGGTGACAGAGCAGGATCCTGTCTCAAAAAAAAAAAAAAAAATTAGAAGAAGAAAAAGCAGTAGGCAGGGGAGAGAGAGGAGGCTGGTTGGAGGGAGGCCTTTTTGTGTGGGTGACATGAGAAAATTTAAGACTCCTTTCCTCCCTCCTCCCTGTCTTCTTTTGTTTCTTCAGCTAACTTTTACTAAGCACCTGCAGTATACCAGGCCTGGAGGAGCTCACAAGTTATAATAGAGTGTGAGAGCGAAGCCCAGAGCACTGTAGGAGCACAGAGGAAAGGCACTAACCCTCTCTGGGATAGGAGTAGGAATGGGTGAGGAATAGGAAAATATTTCCACTGAACTTTCAAATTTACATTGGACAAAACCTCTTTTCTACAGTGCAATGTCCAGTTTTCCACTGTATACTCAAGGAAGTCATGACCCCAGGGTGTGTTAGATCTACAAGAGGCCTTAGACAAAAGGCACACATCTATCTATCCACCAAGACTGGCACCTCACTTCCTTCAAGCCGTCACTTGACTCAGCTGTTTTCTTTTCAGTGAAGCGTTCCCTGCTCTCCCTGTCTAAAACTGCAACCTCCCACTACTACCTCTAATGCTTCCTATCCCCTTTTTTCATGCTTTATTTTTTTCCTTAGCATTTATCCCTATTTAAGAGACTATCGTGTTTTACTTAATTGTCTTCTTTATTGTCTTTCTCCTCTACTTCACTGTAAGTTCCATGAGAATAGGAATTTCTGCCTATACTCACAGGACCTGGAACATAGCAACCATTCAATAACTATTTATAGGAAGGAAGGAAGGAAGAAAGAGAAGAAGGGAGGAAGAAAAAAGAGCTTCTTACCAAGTCAAAACTCTGGGCCACATGGCCCCCAGGACCACCCCAGGGTGGTAATTTACTTGTGGCACCTGTCACCTCTATGCCTTCCAGTGATGGCCTCTAGGGCCTGATTAAAGTCCTACAAAGATCTCACTTTGTTAAGAAGGTATACTTAGTTTGTGCTTAGTTTGTCAAGTCAGGTTGGGATTTTTTTCTGGTGCCCTGCTGCCCCGCCCAGTGCACATGTGGCTAGCTGTAAGGGCCCAGGTTTACAGGTTTATCAACAAGAGCTCAGTGGGTGCTGTGAAAAGGTGATGAGTTCTCTCTCATGTTTCTGGAGTTGAGCACAGATGGGGCTTCCCAGTGTTATAGATGGGGCTTCCCAGTGTTATGCTTTCCTGTGATGACTTCCTTTTGTCACTACAATTCCATTTCAGGCACAGGAATATGGCATGAGGGCCCTCAGTCTAGCCAAAGAACAACAGCTTGATGTCCATGAGCAAAGCGCCATTCAAGAGTTATTAAGTCTCATTTCAACTGAAGACCGTCGCATTACTTAGTGACCCATGAGCTCTGCATCAAGGGTTATTCCAGGAGCTACGGAACGTCTAATATATTCCAGCCCTGCACAACTGCTTTGAGGTACTGTAGACGGCTGAAGTTTCCACCCTCTTCCCCTGGGATTACACACATAGCTGTTATTTTTTTCTTACACAGCATATTGTGGGAATATAAAGCTTTAGGCACAGAAATCAGTAAAAACTGTGTTTGTCATGACCTTTGTACTTGATTTATCATGACTTTGTATGAATAATATGTAGTCAGATCACTAATATGGTATTTGTAATTAAACTACAAATAGTTTGTCATTTTCCCAGAAGTCTCCCAATGATGCATGTCTCATACACTTTTGCTAAAGGAGGGGTAAATGAGGGGGTAGGGAATAAAGCTATATTGGAGCAAAGTTTCTCTATTCTTAATCCTATGCTGGAATTAATTTAGTGTTAATCTGAGGTAGATTGTGATAAAGTACCCATTATAATTCCTAGAGCAATCACTAAGAAAATAACTCTAAAAATAGTTAAAAATCAACAAAGGGATTACTATGGTATGCTAGAAAATATCCACTTAAAGAAAAGAAGGTGGGATAGACGAACAAAAAGGACATGAGACACATGGAAAGCAAATAGCAAAATGCAGGCATAAGTTACACATAAGGTCTTTCTGTGCCAGAGGAGGGCCCTGGGCCTGTCAAGGAGCTTCAGTATAGATTGACTGAGACGTCATTCCAGGGTGGTATATTTCTTATCTCAGACAATAATTGGAAGCAGACATGGGCCATCTATACAGTCTAGGGGAGAGGCACTCTGAAAGATCCCCTGTGATGGAGAGGACAGAGGGTGAGCGTAGGACTCAGACATGCCTGAGCTCAAATTCCAGCCCTCTCACATCATTGCTTTGTGACCTTGATCTCCCCATAGCCTCATCCATTACTATTGTAAAATGGCCCAGATGTGGCCACAGCTGTATCAGCTCGTCCCATCTTGATGACTCTGGTAATTTAGCATATCCTTTTTTTTCTCCCTTAGTTCCTTTCCAGACTTGCCAAGCAGCATTTTGCTTCGTGAGTAGATCTGCACCCAGGGAGAAGATATGCAGGTCAAGAACCTGTCAGAGAGTTTTATGTTCCTCACTGTAAATTAATTCACTCAGACACATATAATAAAAATAAGTCAGATGGGTCACCCTGTCCCTTCAGGTAAAATCAGCTGGAACCCCGCCCCCCACCCTTCCATACTTCTGGGCATTCTTATGCTTCTCCAAGATGGCTATGAAGTCCCAGGGGCTTACTTGTCTTTCAGCCATCTCTTGATCTAATTTTCAGCCTCAGATGAATTCTCATTCTCCAGTCAACATTGTGTAGCACTTTATTCTTCTCTTTAAGGACAGAGCCCCTTCTTCTTAGCTCTTAACACATAACCCCAAATATGAGTCAGCTCTTTCAAATAGACTCTTAATGAAGACTGGAGGAGTAAGGAGGAGGATCAACAACTCTTCAGCAGACAATTTAAAAGAAAATATTAGAACTTACCTCTTCTAAAAACATTCTAAAAAGTCAATTTTATTAGACTTTCACTCTATTCCTTATTCCTTGGCCTCTTTCTGCCTTCTCACTCCTGTCTTATCTATTCTCCTGAATTCCTGTTCATTAACCCTTCTGCATTGAATAAATTTATAAAGTTATTGTTTAAATTTATTGTTTCTTTTTTAAAATTTTTATTTATTATTATTTTTTTGAGATGGAGTCTCGCTGTATCACCTAGGCTGGAGTGCAGGGGCGCGATCTCCACTCACTGCAAGCTCCGCCTCCCGGGTTCATGCCGTTCTCCTGCCTCAGCCTCCCGAGTAGCTGGGACTACAGGCGCCCGCCACCTTGCCCAGCTAATTTTTTGTATTTTTTTAGTAGAGATGGGGTTTCACCATGTTAGCCAGGATGGTCTTAATCTCCTGACCTCGTGATCTGCCTGCCTCAGCCTCCCAAAGTGCTGGGATTACAGGTGTGAGCCACTGCGCCTGGCCAATTTATTATTTCTATAGACTGATTTACTTCTTGGCTGTAGGCCACAATTTTCTGGTTTTTTTTTCACGCTTAGTAATTTAATTTTCAGTTTTTCTTCTTTTCTAACACATGCATTTAAGGCTATAAATTTTAATCTATATACTGCTTTAGCTGATCCCATACATTTTTAAAATGCAGTATTTTATTTTTCTAAATATTTCTTATTTTTTATGACTCATGAGTCACTTAGAAATATGATTCTTAATTTCTAAAATAGGAGTTCTAAAACTTCTTTGTTATTGATTTCTAGCTTTATTGAGGTTCTATAACATACTGTATATAATTTTGATTTTTAGAAATGTTCTTTATAGAATGTGGTCAATATTTAAGTGTTCTGTGTGTGCTAGAAAATAATGAAGTTATTGGGAGCAGTGCCCCTTAAGTCAAGTTTGCTCATATTTTCAATTCTTGCATATTTTTGCTGACTTTTTGTTCATTTCTAAGAAAAGTATAAAATCTATCCACTAACATTGTGGATTTATCTATTTCTCCTTGTAGTCCTGTTAGTTTCTGCTTTATATATATGTGTGTATATGTATTTTATGTATATACATATATTATATATGCATATATAATATACATATATTCTATTATACATATATTATATATAATTATATATATATATATATATTGTTTTGAGACGGAGGCTCACTCTGTCGCCCAGGCTAGAGTGGAGTGGTGCGATCTTGGCTCACTGCAACCTCTGCCACCTGGGTTCAAGCTATTCTCCTGCCTCAGCCTCCCAAGTAACTGGGATTACAGGCATGTGCCACCATGCCTGGCTAATTTTTGTATTTTTAGCAGAGACCATCTTGGCCAGGCTGGTCTTGAACTCCTGACCTCGTGATCCACCTGCCTCAGCCTCCCAAAGGGTTGGGATTACAGCATGAGCCACCGCCCCTGGCCTGTTTTTGCTTTATATTTTTTGAGGCTTTGTTATTAGGTGTGTATACATTTAAATATTATATTTTCCTAGTGAATGGAATTTTTTGTATTATGAAGTGTGAGTCTCTTTATCTCTAGTAATGTTTTGGGCCTTAATTTTGATCTCATATTAATATAGCTGCATTCACTTCCTTTGGGGCTGGATTGCTTGTTATCAGCTAGGCGTCATTACCGTTCCCTTCATCATTTACCTCTGCTTCTAAGGGGAAGCTTAGAGCTATAGTTCTCAGTATCCCTCTCCTTTTATGATTCTGGATAAAATTCTGTCAATGAGGACCAACTGCTCAAAATTTGGAAGCTGCATAAGGAACAACCATTTACCTTCCTGCGAATCATCCACTGTTGTTTTCCTGGATGCGGATTTCCTGTGAAAGCAGCTTGTGCCCTTTGCCCCCGATCTTGATCACCCAGCTACTTCAAAGATTGTGTATGCCTCTTATTCTCGATATTAAATAAATTTCTTTATTCAAAATGCCTAGGGAAGTTTCTGTTTTCCTGACTACACCTTGACTGAAACTCTTGATATTTCTTCACACAACCTTTTACTTCCAAACAATCTGTATCCTCAGAGGTGTTCTCACTATGTTATGCAGGCTGGATTTGAACTCCTGGGGTCAAGAGATCCTTCTGCCCCAGCCCCTTGGGTAGTGGAATTGGAGCAGGCACCACTGTGCCCAGCTCTTAATGTTTGTGATGCATCTCTTGTAAAAATAATATGATTAAGATGTTTTTATATCTGTCATTCTTAAAGAATCATTTAGTCCATTGTTTACACACTAAATGATGTGGGTTTTAAAAAGTTATTAGAGTTTAAATCTATGGTCTTATTTTATGCCTTCTATTTGTTCTGCGTGTTCTGTTTTTTCCTTTTCTTTCTTTTGGATTGATTACATATTTTTTCTCTTTCCATTTCTTCCACTCTGCAAGTTCGTAGTTTATATTCCGTGTTTCTATTCTTTTAGTGATTGCCCCAGAAATCCAAGCATTTGTTTCTTACTTAACAAAATTTAAAGTTATTTAGGAAACCCTCATCCCTGACAATAGAAGGTCTTTAGAATCTTTTAACTACATTTACCTCCCCCCAACTTATACCTTCTTATTATTTATTTCAAATATATCTTAAACTCATGTCATAATTATTTTGTAAAGTCGTCGTATTCCTTCTTTTCACATCTTCCATCTTGGCTCACATTACTGATAAATATTTTAGTACTTCCTATAGTGAGGGCCTAAAGATGGCAAATTCTCATATTTTCTTTCTTTTATTAATTTGAAAGTGTTCTTATTTTGCCCTAATTTTTTTTTTACTCTTCAATGAAAATGTATTTCATTTTTATATATGATTTATTGAGGCAGGAAATAATCTCAGTTCTGAACAGCTCTACAAAATGTGGTTTACTTGGCCGGACGCAGTGGCTCACGCCTGTAATCCCAGCACTTTGGGAGGCCAAGGCGGGTCGATCATGAGGTCAGGAGATCAAGCCATCCTGGCTAACATGGTGAAACCCCATCTCTACTAAAAATACAAAAAAATTAGCCGGGCATGATGGTGGGCGCCTGTAGTCCCAGCTACTCGGGAGGCTGAGGCAGGAGAATGGTGTGAACCCGGGAGGTGGAGCTTGCAGTGAGCCAAGATTGCACCACTGCACTACAGCCTGGGCAACAGAGCGAGACTCCCGTCTCAAAAAAAAAAAAAAAGTGGTTTACTTGACCCCAAAGAGTATAAGTAGGTTGAAACGAGCCAGGATTTCTGGTGATGCTGTGGGTTCCCTATAGAGTGTCTCTTATCTTCCCACCTGGTAATCACATCTTTCCTAAGCGTCCTCAGCAGAATTCACAAGGGTGGAGCTGAAGGATCATCTCTGAAAGGCCTGATTAAAATTTTCCACTAGCAAGCACATATGCACTGTTACAAATATATCATATCGTCTATGAATCTTTATTTAACAAAAATTCACTGAGTTGCTGCTCTACGCTCTCACTATATAGCATTTTATCATTGCACTCTATGGCTTTCTGCTCTGCCACAGGGCCTCAGATGACCAAGATTGGAACCAAACTGCTCTACCACCAGAGGCCTTGCCATGTCCCATTACAGATACACATTGTACAAATGAGGTGTCCCTGTTCTCACGATGACTCTGTGAAGTACGACATTTCTCAAACACAATAGGTCACACAAAACAAACAATTGGCAAAGAAAATGCTTCAGAAAAGATGGTGAAGCATTATTTGGATGACAGAACCATGCAATCATTTTGCCAAACAGAAAACATATGTCTTTGCTAATATTCATCAATATCAGTGCAATGTGATAGAGATAAATATTTTATATTATGTACATACATACACAAACACACTTTTAATAGCTAATATTTAAATAAGCACTTTTTAAAAGCACATGAACAAGGTTACTATTGGGAGCAGGATGTAAAACCAGGATGGTATATTATAAGCGTTTTCCCTTGCACACCTTTTTCAGGATTGTGTATCTCCCAGAACATCTTAATGAACATGGCAAAAAAGAAAAATAAAAGTTTTCAGTGAGAAAAGGTGGTTCATGGTTTAAAAGTCAAGTTTTACCACAAGAAACCAAGTTGGAGGTAAGGGTTGAGGAAGGTAGCGACCAAAAATGACCACTGTAGTTTTGTTTTATTTTGTGTGTGTGTGGTTTGAGCAAGTGGTTGGCATTGTGCACTCAATTGAGGAGGCCCTGAAAGAGGGGCAGGTTTGTTGGGGAAAAATAAAAACATGAATTCAGCTTTAAACATGGTGAATTTGAGACGCTTATCAGACATTCGAAGAGAGATGAAGGGTGGGCAACTGGATATGCCATCTGACATTAAGAAAAGAAGCCTGGGCCGAGCACGGTGGCTCACACCTGTAATTCCACACTATGGGAGCCCGAGGCTGGTGGATCACCTGAGGTCAGGAGTTCAAGACCACCATGGCCAACATGGTGAAACCCCGACTCTACTATAAATACAAAAAAATGAGCTGGGCGTGGTGGTACACACCTGTAGTCCCAACTACTCAGGAGGCTGAGGCAGGAGAATTGCTTGAACCTTAGAGGTAGAGGCTGCAGTGAGCCGAGATTATGCCACTGCACTCCAGCCTGGGCAACAGAGTGAGACTCTGTCTCAAAAAACAAAAAACAAACAAAAAAAAGAAGCCTGGGTTCAGAGATAAATTTGAAAGTATCATGTACATGCTAATTAATACCAAGGAAATGGAGATCATGTAGGGATGAAACCCGCAGCTAAGGAATAGAAGAAAGCCTAAGGAAACACTGGAGGAAACAACATTTAATGGAGAAGAGGTGAACCCAGCACAGGAGGCTTACGTAATTTCAGACTTACTCAGACTACTCATTCAAAGAATTCCTATAATACCTTTCACCCAGATCTCCCAAATGTTCACGTGTTACCACAGTTGCTTTATTTTCTATCTCTAGAAACCCATTATTTTCTGAGCCATGTGAAAGCAAATTGCAGACATGATGTCCCTCTATCCCTTGATATTTAATGTGTATTTTCTAAAAACAAGGACATATTCTTACATATTCTTATTGGAACAATCACCAAAATGAGGAAATTGACATTGATATGATACAATCAGGCAATACAGTACAGACCAGTTGTCTTAATCATGTCCTTTAGAGCAGAAGAGAATCCCTGGACAGGCAGTGTGCTCAGCTGCCACTTCTCTTTAGTCAGAG